CCTGCAGAATTCATCAGCGTAATTTTTAGTGGCATTATTACCATGGCGATATTTTTTCTGTTATCCAATAAAAATTCAATATAATGATAGTTACCAAAATGTATTGATGGTCTTCATTCAACACAAATCACGTTAAATTACCGTCTTCGCCAACAAAATCTTAGAAAATTTGTCTCCTTTCAAATCTCTTGAGAGCAGCAAGTAATTTTTTCTGTAAACTCTGAGAAAATTGGTCTAAGATTTTAAAATGATACATGACAGAGAAAAAGATTTCCGAATTTGATGTCTAGAGTTTACATGGAAGTAATTATCTCTGGCTGAGTTAGGTTTTTAATGTTCTCAATTTTACGGTCTTTTCTCAGCGTTTCAGACAAATAATTGGCTTTTATACGGCTTATTACTTACATTTCATCTAGTGAATACTTAGTAGATTTGTATGTGAATTTATTCTAAGTGGGGGTGTATTAAATTGTGTCTCTGTCTATTGATTCTGTATTTATCTCGACTTTCTGGACTGTAATTCATAGAATCATCATTTTTAACTTTAACATTTAAATGATAGAGATTTTGCCTCAGAAATTTGTCAATCTTTTATTAATTGTGAAGAAAAGTTAAATAGCTTATAGAGTTTAAGAGCTATAAACCATTCATTTGTTGTATTTGCATCATCGACTTTATTTGCTTGATAAGTAATGAAACTTCATTCACTCATTTATTCAAGTGTAACAAAAGAAGAGTACTGTGGGAATGACGTTGTCACAGTTAACTAAGAAGCATTCTTTTATTACTCTTTTTCATCACAAAGTCATTTATGCTGTTTAAAAAGTATTGGAATTTGTTTCACAAGTGCCCCATTTAAAATCTAAGTCGCAGATAAAAGTCATCAAATTTAAAAGTTTTCCTCATAAAATCACCATAGGAATTCCCTAAAAAGCATTCCTTTTCTAAAAACTGCAGTAAAATTAATTCATAATGGTTATTGCCCTCTTCGGTACTGCTATTCCTTAATTTCAAAGACTCATAACGCTCAGGACAGAAGAGAAATATGGCAAGTGAACCACTCTGACATCACAAAGCTATTAGCATTAATTAAACTTTACAATGTCATAATCACCAAATTGGTTAAGAAATGTGAAAAAAGGGATTGAAGAAATGTCGCTCTGGACAATTTTAAGATTAAAGAAATGACAGAAAAATGACAAGTAATGGATTAGGGTAAGGTAATAAAATGTGAGTCACCACAGTTACCAGAGGAAGTTGGGTATCGCAGCCACTGGTTGATTTAAAACAATGTTTATACCAATCACTCTTCAATATGCTTTAATTTCATTCTATAATGAAACTCTCCGGTTGCAACTCTTCCGGGAATTTCCTGGTGAACAAGTTTCCGCATATCAAGTTAATTTCGTCAAATTGGTTAAAATCGTACAGTTGTTCTTTTAATCTCTCATTTGTTTCTGTATTCTGTTTGACGGAATCTCGTTACTTTCATCATGCCTCAATGATCGAAAGGAATTTATCCGCTATTTGTTCGTTAAGCCTCCAATTGGAAATGTTGACATTTGAGAGACACAGGATTATCAAAACCTTCGAGACAAATCCTGTCACTTTTCCACGCGGAGCTACTTCCTGTCTTCCTGTCCAGCATTAGCCACGGGTTCAGGTGCAGAAAACAAGACCAGAAATTAAATTACATTAGTTCTAAATACCCAGCTACAAAATTCTATGAATATAGAACGACCAAATATGGAGGGTGTATTAGCCATATAAACCAATCAGCTATTCATAGAGAATCAGATACAAGATTCACTACGGCGGAAAATGAAAATTGTTTCCCTTTAATTCTCTTTTTAGTCTGTTTCAAATTGATCAACTATATTTCACCATAGGCAACATTAACCATTGTTTTTATGCCTGAAATATAAGTCTGGACTCGAGTATGTTTGAGTTAGCTCTTTCTGTTGTAGGTATTTGATGACCCTAAAAGCGAGTTTTTTATATTTCTTGTCACAGCTTTTTATTATGTCTATGATTCATTAAATGAGTTTGAGTCTGATGGGGATGTCTCACTTATGTTTAGGACTTTTCAGCCAACCCTTGAATCCTAGTTCTGCATTTAGAGGAGGCATGGCTCCTTAATTTTGTTTTCACAATTGCAGTTATAGAGTTGGTTAACCAAGTTAGTAATATCATTTGCATGTCCTTACAATTTGTATTGTCAGTTTTCTCAGTACAACTTGGAGGATTGCTTCAAATTTATGGTTGATAGCTGGCAATTCTTTAACAACTCCATAAGAGCTCTCCTTCACACAGTATCTATGGTCAATGAACAATGTTTTTGTCCCTTAATTACAGATTTTGCTGAACTCTTGTCACCCTTGTTGAGAACTCTTCAGTATTGAAGGAGGAAAATGTCTCAGTTTGACACATCAAAAAAGCTGAGAGTATCGATTAGCCATTTTTTAGGGGACAATCTTCAACTTATCTGTTCCAATTCAACACATAAACATGTAATAAGAAATTTTTATGACCACTCGAAACTGTCTTGTAACTCTGCTCTTTGCGCGTTTTACGACACATTTTCTAGCTACTTCATGTGATATAGACTCTCAATATAAATATTATGAACCATATAATAACACTTTTTAGTCATATACAACGTTTTATACCACTTAATGTCTGCGCTATTCATCCCATTTGTTTGCATTTCTTGATTTCTGTGCTCAATAACGATTTTTATCGCAGATAATTGCCGCCATAAAAGACTTCATATGAACATTATTTGTAAATTTGAAGAGTGTTTTTTTTTTTAATTTCAAAGTTAATGTCTAGTTTTAAAATATGATTGGTTTGCATTATGAAAAAAGATTGCATAAAGAAATTTGTTTGGTTTTAATAATTTGTTGACTAGTATGAATAGGAAGTAAACATTCTTAAAGATATTTTTGTTACAAGCTCGAACGGTTTTTGTGTAATTTTGTAAAATGGCACTTGTCTAAGTTTGGAATTGAATGTTTGCTTTTCTGCAAATTGAGAAAACATTGAGAAGTTTTAACAAACTCTGTCTGAGATAGAAAATGAAATGTTGATTCGACTAGCATGTTGATAGCTAAGTATATTTACATGAAAGTGATTGGGTTTGAAAATAACATACAAGATATATTGGGGGAAATTAATTTGCCGCTATCTAAGATGAAAGGAAAGGAAAATGAGAAATGTGCAGTGACATACATAATCAATAGTTTATCAACTCCGTTTCTTTTTAAGTTTGTCATATATAGTCCTAGCATGACATTTCTTAGATAACTTAAAAGAATACACTGGTGCAGTTTCTTTCACTGGTTGACATTTTACAGCGGTAAATTCTCGACACTTTTGATTCTGACATTATAAATGGCTTAAAACTTTAGATGGTCTCAAGAAAAGAGGTACCAGTATGCAATATAAAATAAATAGCCATAGTGGAAACATTTGTTGTATAAAATGGTCCGAGCTGCCAAAGTTATGGTGTATGGAATATTTCCTAAGAAAAAAAAAGTAGTATTAGTTACCTTGGATAAACCTGGCAAAATATGATTTCATTTTTAGGGGAATATTGCAAATGCCTTGACAGTTCTCCTATTATTGAAATCTTTCTGCTTCTGCAGTGCATAAGATGATTAACAATTTGTAATCTGAAATTCTTTAAGATGAAAAAAGTGTCATCTTGAAATATGACTAACATTAATCCAAACACATCATTTCATGAAATAACATGGTATCAAGTGATGCAGAGAAAAATTCTGTCATTGCTGGAAAAAATGACGGATGATGATAGCTTTAATCAAAGAGGAGCAGTAGAGACCTTGGCAGACACGAGACAAAATGGCAGAAAGGTTAATCTTGAAAAATACAGTATTTAACTAAAACTGCAGACATGCTTGCACATTATTAAAAAAGGTGGCGCTACTGTTTTAAGGTGAATCTATTTTGATGTTGATTAATAACATTTATGTCAACTTTGTTTGAAATCTGACCGTTCAATCAGGCTGAATTAACGAGTTGACTCGTCACATTGACAAGGGCAGTAACTCTGGGATTATCATTCTTTCATGTTTATAGTATATGTGTGAAAGAAAGTGCAGTTTACTATAGAAAATACTGGAATATATTCATCATTCCATTTTCCCAATGAACTGAATGATTATCAAACAGTATAATCATTTATATTGATTTACTAAAGCTTATCTTATGCTGCTGAATGTGTTTCAGACAAGAACAATCCTAATCAGAACATCTAGTTTTGAAACAGGGTGTAATTTCTGAAATTGGACTTGCTAGATAACGCACTGATGTTCTACTTCAAATCCATTCTCTCTTTCTCAAAATAAATATGATTTTGAAATTCTCAAGATGTGCACAGAGATTGTTGACAACTGTAACATTTTGTACATCAGATAAAAGAAAGTTCTACTAAAGGATTTACTATGATATCTCTACAGTGTAATATCAAAACAATAGATAAATTAAATCTGACATATTAAACTGGAGATATTTTTAACCCTGGTTTTCATCTTATTCTCTCTGGAATCAACTGTCAATCTTCATTTGAAAGTTTTAAATACAACTTATTAGATACAAGTGTATTGGAAATACGTCCATCTGAACTTTATAGTAGAACAGTTTAACATGTAAGGTTTAAGAATTTAAGTATTGTATATGGCTATGTACATACATACAGACATAATATATTAATAAGACAAGTTCTAAGGGTTTATGATAATTTTTGAAATACACAATAATTTGATTAATTTTAATTTTAGGACTGACCCTTATGAAAGTTTGACATTTAATAATTAGGAAGGAGTTGACTTGGTGTCCACTCTCATTCATTCATCCTACAATAGAAGGGCATCAGTAAGGATAGTTTTTGAAACTTTTAGAATATGTTTTCAGCTTAATATTTCTCTTTAAAAATTCCTGTATAGTGTATTTATTTTGTATTTATTTTATCATTTCAGTGGTTACAAGGTTCCTTTAATCAAGATCGTCGTGGATACCGAGTTTACACTTCCTGTTACGTGAAAAATGCTAATGTGAATAACTGGTTAAGAACACCATATATAGAACGTGGGGACGCTAACAGTCTTCATATAGAAGTGAAATTTACTATGAGAAAATGTTCACGAATTACAGATCCCAGCAGCCTTCAGCAGTGTAAAGAAACATTCAATTTGTATTATTATGAAGCTGATATGGACATTGCAAATGAAATGAGACCAACATGGGATGCCCAGACATATACTTTAGTTGATAAAGTTCCTGCTCGACATTTATACGAGCAACCAACAGAAATCAAGATCAACACAGAAACTCGAAGAATCGCTTTACGACCTAACCTACGTGGGGTGTATTTTGCATTCCAAGATGAAGGTGCTTGTGTTACACTAATTTCCATCAAAGTATTTTACGTTGTGTGTCCAAATATCACTATGAACTTTGCCTCGTTCCCAGAAACTCCAACTGGTGATTCTGAATCCTCATTGGTTGATCGTCAAGGTCAGTGTGTCAGGAACGCCATCGAAATGCAGCCACCAACCTATCTTTGCCGTAGTGATGGCTCATGGTACCAGGATCCTAAAGGTCAATGTTTGTGTATGCCAGGATATGAAGGCACCAGTGATTCTACACAATGTACTGGTATGTTTCAAATTCTTTAATTTAGCTTTTTGTTGCATAAATATAATAAGGTTTCAATAACCTGTAATGGATGTTGTTTTAAAAGTTAAATTTACATGGTTTGATAAGTCAAAACTTTTTATAGTGGGACAAATCTGGAACTTTTGACAAATCTGGAACTATATATGGTTTGATAAGTTCGGGGGTAAATGGTTGAAAAGTCATAATTCTGATCATATGTCTTTTTATTGGAAAATCAGTTAAGTTATAAATTGTTTTGTTATATTTAGAGATTTTATTACATGTTGTTGACCAATGTTGGCCCCTATTTTGACACCAACTCATTCAAAGGCTCTCCAGCGCAGACAATTTTTGACAATTTTGATTAAAGTGTTAAGCTCTAGTAGAATGTAGATATCATATTTTTCTTTTGATGGTGATAGGTATGTCTGATAATGACAAGGGTTAAAATAGGGTCTTGATGATCAAGTTGACCTGAACACAGCCCCTAATTACAGGTGAGAGGACAGTGGTCAGACAATAGATAATTTCTAGCTAGGAACATCACAAGTCATGCCTGTTTGACAAGCCAAGGGGAGGGGGTAGGTCAAAGTCCTTATTATGTGTGGACTGAGAAAGCAGGGGTTCTGAGTTATTTTAGAGCTTATTTTGAAAGGCTCAGTGAAAATTAGTCTATTTCAACATGAGGAGACTATTGTTAGGTTTTATATTGTATGACAAAATTGCTAGTAAATCTTTAATGGTTTTGTGGAAAAGGACTATGCTGTAATTCTGTCTGTGATGTCCATAACACAACTCTCTATTTTAAGATTCTTTACACCAACTATACACAGGTGTGCTTTCAAAAGGGTTTCATAAGACATTGATCCATTTCAAGTATCTATAATATCAGCTTGCATAGACCAATAGACTGAGCTCCATTGATATAAAATAGGGAACAGCAGCAAAGGGTAATGTAAGGCATTGATTCCTCTCAAGTATCCATAGGAGATCAAACCTCAGCTGGTATGAAATAGGGAACAGAAGCAAAAATCCAAAAAGGGATGGGTTACAAAAGGATGAATATTTTGTTATCCTTCACACCTGAGTTGATGATGTGACATTGTAATTATCAATGTATCAGACACCTGATATCACTACTGACATTGTGAGATTGTGACAATGTTATATATTGTTACCTGTTGTTATTGTGTTAATGACAAGAACTTGATTAATACATAATGTATCTACATTGTTCACTCGGCTTTAAAATAGATACATTTTTCATGATAATTATTGAAGCTTGCATAAACAAAAGCTTGAAGGTGGTTCTTTAATAAATGTAATTGTGTAGTATTCAGTGTATATGCTGTTAGAGATAATAAAATATATTTTATCAGTAAAACACATGAAAACAAGGATTAAATATCAGATTCTTGAACAAAGCAAGTTTACACTTCAAAATTAGATTCTGTTGTAAATTAACAGTAATGTGTATAATATTATGATGGTGAATTTCTTATATTTAAGAAGCTTTTCCTCAATTTCTAACTATTTTGGAAAAGGTAGATGTTCTTTAGATATTAAGTAGTTGGTAAGAACATGAAATGCTCTTAAAATGTTTACTCTGTAACCATAGGTTAGGAATAACATGCAATAGAAATCCATATCAAAGTTTTCAGGACTTCAAGATGCTTTTTACCAGATATTCTATACCACAAAAGCATCAATAAATTACTTAACATGACTGCCCTAAACGATAAGTTGCTAGGTTTCTGTTTTTAGAGAGTTCACATGGCTTATATATTCTATCTGTATTTTGTTAGACCCAAGTTGAAAAGGGTATAGGATAACTCATTGCTCTTGAATTTATTTATTCAGTTGTCTTGACAAAATATAGGATAAAAAATTGTTTTTAAAATGTAAAGTTATTCATCGCACCTGTTATCTAGAGGAAAATGATGAACTGTGGGATTGTTTCGTGACAGCGGGGTAACATGTTATTAAATTAGTCAGGATTTCACAGCCACAAAATAAAAATCATCCCCACAATTAAACTCTCTCCTTGACAATCCACTTACATTTCATTTGTAACGAAGCGAAGATATTCTTTTATAATTGACAACCTCTTGATCCTAATGAACTCTGGTAACAATTAATTGGGTGGGGTCGTATGCGAAACATTGGGGTCAAATTAAAACTCTATTCTGGACTATAATAAGAATCATTTATTAGGCTTTCACGTCTATAGAAATATGTTGACTAATGATCTCTTACATCGGGAAGAAATTTTTAGGTTAGTAAATTGCTTATAAAGAGAAGGCATAATTTTGTTTAAATACTTCCTAATTAGAGCAACTTAGTTTAAGGCTATAAGGGACCAATCTGTAACAAAGAGTTTGAAGGTCCTCTTTAAAGAAAATTTTGGATTTAGTTTAATACATTCTAAAGAGAATTTTTGAATAAAATGAGATTATTTTGGTATCAAGGAGTTCAAATCACTTGAATGTCTCAAGATTTGTTTATTTTGATGACATTTTCACATGAAAATATGTTCTGTTCAATGCACTTGAAATATATCTGAATTTCTAGAAAGATTTTAACGGCACACAAAAGTCATATACCTATGGTAGTAAGGTAATACAAGGGCAGGTCTTCAGTATAATATCAAGATTTCTTGCTTCCAAAAATGATTTTAAGCATGGGACTAAAGTCATTTATTTGTGGTATTTATTCTAAAAAATAAAGGAATCGTTTTAAGTTATTTGAGATTATCATTAGCTTGTGAAAGTCATAAATTTAGTATGTTTTTTCAAAATAAAACTGGTTAGAATTGTCATGCTGACCAATATGTTGACCATGAGTTATGAACAGTGGATAGAAAATACAAGTGTGGGTGATGTTTGATTACGTTAAAATCGTAAAATTTAGACAAGACCCCAGTGGACATTGTTTGAGCTGTGATTTTGGCACAAGGAACTGTATGTTTGAACAAGTAATGCTCGTGTTGATTCGAGCTTTTAAAGACAATAAGATAAAGCGTTAGGTCAACTTTGTTTTGGCAGGGTCGTTTCTTCTTGTTTTTTCACGAAGTAAACACGTTTATATTGCACCGTCTTTCAGACTGACATCGAGGGCTTGTAAATAAAATTCAAATACGACTGTTAAAATCCACAAATGACAAATGACTTTTTGTTCTCAAACCTGGCTCACAGTGTTTTCTTCGTTTGTTTGTTAACAATTTTTTTGTTGTTCATTCAACAATTCCAAGCCTTTGTTTTATTTTTCTACCCTAGTCAAGAGGGGTCGAATCATTGTTTTGTATTAATTCAAACTTTACATTTAGAATTCATGGAAAACAATCTGCACTTGTTAAAATTTTCTCTGATGTCCTCAATTCAATGAACTTGGAACATTTTATTTATAAATCAAAAATATTTCATTAATTTTGTAAGATCTTGTTTCATGCAATTAAAGAATTATAAGTTTTAAGACGAGAAATGCAAAGTTGTAGTCTGAGGTACTTTTGAAACATATGATGTATCGACAGGCAGAAAATGCAAACAGGCATTGACTGCTAATAAAGGTAGACCACCCTCAGGATAGCAACTAAATTAATATTATTTGTTGTATATGTGTGTTAAGTTACTATAATGATCCTGTGTAAATTCTAAATATAATGACCATCAAGATATTTGATAATGAATTCTTCTGACTGACGTTGATTGACAATATTTATCTTGTAACGTGCGCCATGACATCATGACGTTGGTTACCTCCACGATATTCATATTTGAATTCTATCTTGGTAAACTGTTTGTAAAACTAAGTCTATTTGAAAATAAGGTGTCAAAATGGCTGTGTTTTTATCGTAATGTTTTCATAACAAGAAAATCCATTGCCAAGTCCAATTAAGATAGAGAACAATCTGTGAGAAAAAACGTAATAAGTCGAACTCAAATGAAAAACAATTGTTTTTACACTCCCTGCCCCCTCGATTTATGTTTTTTTTTTCAATTTTTATTATTGTAATGCACTTTTATGAATTTTTTTTTCAATTTAAAAGTTATTAATGAATCATTCATTCATTCATTTTTCATTCAATTCTTTCTGATTCTACTTGCATATGACAATTGAATATATTAATATTTCATTCATTCATATCTGGATTATCATTTATTCATTTCTACCGTCTGTCTATTTCAGCCTGTAATAAAGGAATGTATAAATGGTCCCAGGGCAAAGAAGCGTGTAAACCCTGCCCCCACCATAGCTATGCCAACTCTCCTGGAGCAGTAGAATGTAACTGTGAACATAGTTACTTCAGAAGTCCCCAAGATGAGAAGTCTATGGCGTGTACTCGTAAGTAGTCTTTTACATTCCAGAACTAATGCATTGATAATTTATCCAAGTAACAAATGAATTTGGGTATGTGATATGCACAATTGCTTGTATACATTATGTATAGTGCTGATGAGATATATCGGTACATAGTAGGCATACCATACACATATAACAGGACATTATCCAAATGCAGAAATCAAAAGTTTATCTTAAATCTGTGAACTAATACACAAGACTTTCAAACAATTGACCAACTACATGATTATCGAGCTTTTTCAACAAATTTTTTTTTTTTTTTCATAGAACTTAAGCATAGTTTAATTTGATGAATTTAATATTATAGTTTAAACTAATGTAATCTGCTATTTAGAAATATTACAGTCTGCTATTTACATGTTTTTATAAAACAAAATGATGTATTTTATTTGATTAAATATTAAATTGCCTGCCTTTGTTTAAAAACGTAATCCATAATGATTTTTTTAAATATGCGAATTGGCTGTCAAAATTGATGATAAATGATATAAATGATTCATTTAATATACAATATGTCAAGTTATATTTCAAACAGCTAATTAGTCATTTACCAAACCTTGTCACAAATATGTTGAAATTTTGTGGATTATTTTGGTAACAGTTTGTTTCTGTGGTCAAAGGCTAAAATAATATTTACGAGAAGCTGATATCATGATGTGAAAATTCTGTAACTTTCAAATATAACTTTCTGTTTTTAGGTTTGAAAGTAAAATGATAAAACAAAAATTGCTGTATAAGGCACAATTCTTGGTCAAAAAATCTTAATATTGGGGTGAAATTCAGGCTCAATTATTAGAAACTGCAACATGAATATCAATCTGCTTATAGAGTTTTCAGCTACAGATACGGTTTTTAAAATCCTTTCCGACATGATCGGCAAAAGGAACAGTTTTATTGATAACACTTGTAGTAAATAATGATCATAACATTTCACAACCCATTATCCTGTTTTAAAAAAACAAGCTAATTTAGTTGTATTGTATTACCATGTGTAATGCGTAAATTTCAGTATTCATGACTTCATCACTTTCAATACAAATCTGATAAAGCTTTATAAAAGTGTTCTGAATAATCCTGACTACTTTATAAATCTGTGAACTTCGACCTCGGAAGTAATTCTCCGAAAGACAGATAAGAAGTGCAGACTTGTCGATCAATGTTTGTAAAACTGATAAAAACTAAATATCGTTAATTTTGTCAGAAAACTTGTCAATGGAGACTAAAATACGTAAATTTTGCAACACGTCTTGTCAGTATCAGATGACCGTATATAGAATTGATGTTTCCACGGTGATCTTTGATCATGTGATGTGAGGGAATTGATGGAATATCGTTAGATCTTTCTACAAAACTCGTTGAGTATTTCTTATCTGTTAACCAGGATTGGCGATATTTCTTTCGTCTAATTGAAGTTAGTCTAGCTATGAATACAGGGAATAAAATACCGATATATCAGTAGGGAATTATGGGTAATAAATGTGGTAATCAGACAATAAGTATTGCGATACATATCAACGTATCTCAGTTTGTAGGTACTTAGATAGATTAGAAACTTATGTCACTTCTAAATGAATTGATTTGTTCAGTCAAAATTTTGTCTTGGCTTAAATATTGCATTAAAATATTAAAAGCGACAGCGTCCAATCATGATTTCTAGACATATTGGTTATTACTGTAACTAATGGTATCGGCCAATCAGATTTCTTGTTATAATGTACTTAGGATATCATATTTCATACAAGAAAACCTAGTTCTTTATACGCTTCCTTGTGTAAGAGAAACATTTTAATGAAATAGCGTTTTAATTGAAACTTATCAAAAACAACAAGACAATTTGATAAATGGAACTATGTCAATAAAGTGGAACAATTTCTGTCTGGGGTTTAATGTTTAAAAACATATTATTTGTTATTTTACACTTTCATGTTATTTGTCTTTCAAATAATATCTATAGAGTTTTATATCAGCTGGAAATAAAATGTCAATATTTTGTCAATTTTCCGCTTTTTAATCTGCAGAAATTCCAAGATATTTTCAGTTCACTTACAGTATGAAATTGTTATCATGTTACGAAATTAAATAGTTTTTTTTGAAAAGCAGATGAGCCTCACAGAAAAGGTGCTTACCTAAAATTTCCTGAATCTATTTTCCAACCTGACTAAGTAATAAAATGGTTTTTATATTTGACATTATGATGGATATTTTATGGAAAGTTCAAGGTTTATATTCACTACAAATGTCCAAGATATACACTTATCAAATATTTAATGCAACCAATTGTTTTCTCTTTTAGAACCACCTTCAGCTCCCAAGAATCTGATCTTAGAATCTATGAAGTCAACAACTGCTACATTACTATGGGAACCCCCACAGGAACTAGGTGGCAGAACTGATCTTCAGTATCAGGTGGAATGTCGTCTGTGTAATAGCCAAGTTGAGGCTCGGCCAGGTTGGAGAGCGTTCAATACCACCAGGTAATTATTGTCATTATTGGAAACCAACTTCTATAGTATACTGGCAAATCTGTCAAATTCAGTTAGTTCTACCAATTCTCCTGATGCAAAACCTGTTTGACAATACCTATGTTCTGGTCAGAAATGCAGTTGAATGTTAAGAAACCTGGCTGTAATTTTATCATTTTAACTATTTTAGAACATCCAGATAATCTAAAAGTAAGACTGCTACTTTCTTTCAAGACTTATATATTTTCTTCAACATCCGTACAATTTAATATTTCACTGTAATTGTACAAAAATTTTGCCAATGTTACGTTTTGTAATATTGATGGTTTATTTTTTCAGGGTAACATTAAAGGGACTAGCTCCGAACTCCCAGTATCAGATAGTAATCTATGCTAAGAATGGTGCCAGTGATATCAGTGGTCATATCTCATCAGCTGATATTACTATTACCACTGATGCTAATGGTAGGTATATTTTTACCAGTTAGAGTGCGAGGGGCAAGCTCTTTTCATACCATTCATATTTCAAACATTTGCTGTTTCTTGCTTTAACTATGTTCAATCCCTATGATATGTTCATTTTGAAGAGAGGATGTCCCCAACAATCATGGTTTAGGGTCCCAAAAGATGGACAAAATGAGAAACAATTACCAGAGCTAAATTTCTGTTCCTCTGTTGATGGAGACTGCCATACAAATATAATGATGTCTGTATGTTATTTATTGAATGACAGAAACTAATTGGATAGAGAATAACTGGACAGAAATTTATGGATAACAATTACTAACAAATAATTGTGATAATGACACACATATTATCATTGCAGTATTTCAAATTACATTGTACTTTATTTGTGTCCTCAGCCAGTGCTTTACATAGGAGTTTTTATTAACTTCTTCAGCCTTAATAATAATTTAATATTTATGTTGTTATCCATGAAATTCTGCCCCAACTTTCCCATTTCGCATCCTCTGGTATTTTGGGCCCTTCTTTCCAGAGGTTTTATGTAACCCCAAGACCTTGCAATACATCAGCCTGGTGTCAAGCATGTTTTGAATATGATTCTATCAGGCCATCTGTTTAGTAATGTAGGTTCAGTAATCTACAAGAAAATAATTTGAAAAAGCTTTCAAGGCTATCCTACAGGAGATTTTCATTGGACTCTTAGCAAAAACATATATAAACTGACAGTTCCAGAGTGGTTTTCAATAATTGCCTGATATATCTGAAACCTGTCATAATTGATAACCTGTTTCCATGGTATCAAATTTCAAATTTTCATATAAATAATCTACTCTTGACATTATTTCATCTCTACATTCATATTATGTTTGACAGAAAATCAGTAGAGAAAGACACACTATTATACCATAAAAATGATGACCTATAATCATAGAAAAACACTCCCATAGGCAAATTAAATTTAAACATTTACTAGGCCCTTGTGTATTTGGAAAGAGATGAGGCCGAAACATGTATATAAGTGGACCTGTAACTTTATTAAGTAAACAAATTGAAGCATGCCCTTATCTTTACCCCAAGGAATTATTCTCAAAGCAAGGATAAAGTTAAAAAAAAAAGTCAAATATTTGCAATGTAAGCATGAACTTAGCAAAAGCAGAACTGTTGAAGTCAGCATAGAAATACGGTAATAGGATGTGATTGGTTTCAGAGTATTAAATAACATGATATAATGTAGGGTATATAGCTTGATTGACAGGCTATTAGTTCCGCAGTTAAAGGAACACGATTTGGGTCAATTTGGTATAAATAGAAAAAGTAGGTAAATGCATTAAAGTAGGAAATTAGATTTATGGTACAATTATTTCTTCAAAGAAATTTTTTCTGAAAATATGCCATTTCAATACTTAATAATTAAATTGTAATTTGTTATCATTGTGAGTTGGAAGAATAACAGAATTCAGTGAAATTGATTCTTTGATTTTTTGAGATGAAAAAAAAAAAAAATATAATATGTCAATGAAAACTGTATAATTTGTTTAAAATGAACAACCTTTCATAAATGAAAGTTGTTGAATGAAATTTGATGATTTTAGCAAGTGACTCTGGTTGCAGTAAGAATATCTGGAAGGAAATCTCAATTTAATTAGTGTCTGTATAATATATATATAACTAGAGATAAGCCTGTTATAAACTTGTTAGTCTTTGATCTCAATAACTCTATCTGACTCAATAACAGGTGATTCAGTAATGAGTAGTTAACTTTATATTTTAAAGGTATACTGTATTTATTTTCTATGAAAGCTGATACATACTAATTCAGGTGTTTGACTATGTTAAAAATGCACAATTGCTAAATGCTTGGCAGTAAAGTTGAAATCTATCTTTCTTTACCAGACTTATAGTTTTTGGATTATATTCCTTTCATTTCTGTTAAAATTCTAATTCTTAGGCCTGTTTCAGATTTTCATATTCAGGTTACCATAACTGACTATTTTTGTGCCACTGTAACATTAGGTTGTAAATTTTAAAACTTTCATAGTGATAATCCATTAATCCTTGCCCAATTTTGTACCTTTTTTTTTCATTAATATTTATATTGCATGAAATTAACATTTGAATATTTTTCTTTCTATAAGGTGGTGGTGATCAGATTGGACAGTCCAATACAAATAATGGTGTTTTCGAGAATACTGATGGTTAGTACATCTTTCATATTTCTCAAGTCTTTATATCTCCAATAATTTACTAATCATAATTTTGTGTGTGTGCCACTTTATCATAAGGTTATTTTGAAATTTGGTGTCTTTCTTTTAGGAGGTGTAGATAAACCCAATAATAATAATGGTGTTTTCGAGAATACTGATGGTTAGTACATCTTTCATTTCAAATATCATCTTAGAGGGAGCTTGGTCTTATATTTCTTCTCTATTTCTGATTTTCTTGAAAAATAGTCTTCAGTCATTCTATTCTCCAATGGTTTGCTTATCAATGGGGAAGGTTTTATCTGGATATAGAGCTATATGTCTCTATCCTTCTAGTGTACTGAAATTGTTTTTATATATCACATATTTTACTTGTGGAATTACTCTGCTGAAATAATGACCATTTTGGCACCACCAATTTCAGGTCGAAAATCGAGTAATCTTAATTTATATGAAAACCGTTTCACATTGGGTAAGTCAAAGTCAGTGTTTTCAGCTTGTCCTAGTGCTAGAACTGTGCAGCATGATTTATTTTCAGCATTTTTGATCATCAAGATTATTTCAGCTCTCAGTTGGATCCAGCTAAATAGCTGTGACTATTAGAATCTGTTTGACTATATTTGTGGTGTTCTTTGCTTAATGTATTTGATTAAGAGCTGGTATTTTTGCATGTGCAAAATTTTGTGATATTTCGTGTGTGTTGGGGCTTAATGAAATTTGTTCTTTTTTGTATAGAAAAGTTGCATGTGATCTGAAATTAGCATGTATTTTGTATATAGTGTTTGACAAGGGAGAGCATTCCCAGTCATTCTACAAATACCTTCATGTAATTCACTATTCTTGTGATCAGTACTTCTTAATGAAATTAAATGAAATGGAGTTTCACATCCTACTTTTCTGCTACATGTGGGCTATAACACACAATATTATTTTCAGTAGAGTAGAGTTTTCAAAGATTTTCTAATATTATTGTTGATGTGTATTGTTCCTGACAGTCATGTCATGCATGCAGTAATGAAAGCAGACCTCTATTATTTACAACATTTGAAACTAATAGTGAAATGTTTTGACCTATGTTGAATTATCCATGTAATTTGCATTGTCTGTGACATTAATGTTAACTAATGCAGACATCTTGTATATTTTACATTGAAAAGTAACTGTGAATTGTTTTGACCTAGGTTGAATCATTGCATGTTATTAGGCCTATATCCTATAATTTTATTTACAAAGTCCTTATCACCATAGTTTTTATCTGATAAATGTTCAACATGCATGACTTGAATTGTTATTATCGCATTACAACCTTCCAAACATTCTCCGATTATTCACCGTCATTTTTCACTGCTGTCTGCTATGTGACAGGATTTAGAAATAGTTGATTATATCTTGGTATTGTTTTTAACATTTTTATTGGCTTTAGTTAATGTCTTCTGACTAGTAATTATCAAACAATTGTTGGTCTGAGTGTTGTTGATGCTGTATTTCTCACATGTCAAAAGATGTTTATTAAAACTATACAAAGGTTTAAGGACACTTATACCTTCAATTTCAATCTTGAAAAATCATGTCTGATCACACTGAAATATCTCTTATCCAATTTATGTCTTCCTTCCGTGGTTCCTGTAATTTCATATTATTTGACTAGATTATATTGAAGATATCATTTAACTGAAAAATGGAAGCTCTAGAAAAGAGTGGTGATAAGTGCTCTCAGTATCTGTAATCGGGGCAAAAGCAGCCAAAATTTGAACTGACACATCTAGGTTGATGAAATAATAAGAAAATAGATCATTTACTCTGTTAAAATCAGCATTGAGTCGTGCCATTCTACTGTGACCATACCTAGATTTATTACATCCTTCTTCTGTCTTGATGGCGACCAGAATATTTCATTATTTCAATTTATTAGAATTAAATGAAAATGTTGGTCAATTTATCAGCTTTGTATGTCAAGTTTTTCTTGTATTTATTAGTCTCGCTCTACCAGTCGGCAGTCTTATGTTTCTGGTTTTTGTTGAGCCTTGCTCTACCAGTCTTGATTAGCTTTATGTTTCTAAACTTCTTGATATTAGCCTTGATCTCCCAGTTTTGTTTTGTTTTATTATACTGGATTTCTTGATATTAGCCTTGCATTACCAGTTTTATATTTCTGGATTTCTTGTTATTTGCCTTGCCTCACCAGATTGTTTGGCTTAAAAATTCTGGACTTCTTGTTATATGCCTTGTTTTACAAGTCTCTCTATGCTTGTATCTCTTGCCTTCTGCTCATTAGTCACAATTTTCCAGTCTTGTTCTGTTTTTATGTTTTCATTTGTAAAAAATAAGTCAGATCAATGTTTTCTTGCATATCAAAAATTAATTGAACTCTATTAGACACAAAAAAACCTTGCATGCACAAATTTACGGTAATGTAAAGAGTCATGATGGCACACTTAGAATCTAGGCTTCTTTCTTTCAAATATATCTCATTCAAGATTTGGTCAAAACAAGATTGTATATTAGAGTTGCCAGAATCTGTTATGCTACTGAATCATTTGATCCTGTCGAATCTGAACTTATGATTCTATTTGCCATGACACAAGGTCAATCATATCTCTTATCATCTTTTGCTTGAAAGAATATCGTGTAGAGTAAGTCCAGAGGGCGGCCATATTTTTTTTCAGATGCCGATAAACCTAGTTAATTGAATTGGTTCTATAACAAGCAACGTAATTAAGAATTTCTTTGATTTAGGAATAGATGTCTAGATTTTCATGTAGCTCAAAGGAATTAAATGGAGAATTTTGCTTGCTTTTTGCATGGGATTTTTGTTTGTGTAATGAATCATTTTTCCAAATATGAATTATTTTATAAATAATGGTATTATGCTAGTGATGATAAGATATGTGATGTTACGGTAGATATTGTAAAGGGGCTCCTGGAGACAGTTTTACAAAAACTAAAGATGATTTTTGTGTCGTGTGATTGGTCAATTTTGGTCAAATCAGTTTCAATATCAGATCACTATATTTTTGAGTGTTTTATATCTTCGGTAAAATTTTTGCAAAAATATTTAATTGTTTATTGAATTTTTTAATTTCAGTGAAAATAATCAATGTGAGAGTTATCAGCAAGGATTCCAATCATATCACTTTAACCTGGGGTGTTCAGTTACCTAATGGTGCCAATACAGCAGTCCGTAACTACGAGGTTAAATACTTCCCTATTAACTCTGAAGGACATCATAAAATCAAGACAACAACAGAGCCCAATTTTACTCTGACTGACTTTGGCTTTGATACAGAATACTTCTTTCAAGTAAGTTTTTTTTTTTATCTTTGAGCAAGATTATTTTTTTCAGTCTAATGGACTTCTTTAGTTAGTTGATCAGTCTTATCATTCATTCATTCATTCAATTTGATATGCAACCAAAAACAGTTATTCAACTGATAACACAGAAACTCTAAACTAGGACCAAAAAGTAAAGTCTTTAATCTATTTGAGATTCCATCGAACAATTTCTTCTTATAAGTATATAAATCTTATATTGAAATTTACTGCAGAACAATCATTTATAAAATACAATTCTTCAAAGTTTTTCCTTATTTTTACACAAAAATACCTTAATCAAAACTGGACAAAATAATAAATAAGTCCCAAAAAACTGCCTGAAGTGAAAAGTAATTGTTTTAGTAAGTGCACGAAATTGTCAGTTTAAAAGTACTAGTAATGTTTAATATTTAAATATAAAGTAATAAAAACCTCATATGATTGACAGGTCTCTCTATTGATTGACAGGTATAATGTAAATATCAATTAATAGAAAAAAATCTAAATTATCAATTTTCACACATTATCTTTAATAACATGCATTTTTTATTCTAATAATCTAGATATGCATCAAGTTTTATATTGAAATTGATGATTGTTATCAATATTTTTTATAGCAGATAGCCATATTGAAGTCTAGTTATTGATCAGTATGGTTTAATAACAATATAATAACCGTGATATGATCTGATAACATCAAAACATGTTTTGCCTTATGCATTCCATTGGATATTCTTAATTCTGTGTTACAAAGAATCTAGCATACAGGCTGTATGATTTAGAGTTACTATTTGGAGTTATTTACTAATTGTTGGGTCTATTTGGGATCTATGTAGTTATTATTTGGTTGTTTATATAGAATAACCCAAATTATAGATTTTAAAGGTTACAGTCACTTGCTGATCATTTGGTGATCTGGTTAGAGTTACCAGTTGTTTTGTTGCCTATATATAGTTACTGGTAGAGTTATTAGGTATATGGTGGTCCATATAGAGTTACATTTACTGACTATCATAAATCATTATATATATAAAGCCATTAATTTTTAGATTGTTCTATTTAGAGTTACTATTATTTTATGGGTCTAAATAGAGTTACTTATTTTGTGATAGGTCTAAATAATGTGATACAGATTTATAAGGTCTATATAATGTGATATAGAGTTATAAGGTCTATATAATGTGATATAGAGTTATAAGGTCTATATAATGTGATATAGAGTTATAAGGTCTATATAATGTGATATAGAGTTATAAGGTCTATATAATGTGATATAGAGTTATAAGGTCTATATAATGTGATATAGAGTTATAAGCCTGTGAAATAACTTATTTATGAAACTATTATTATTTCTGTTGATGGATGAAATTCTGCATGATAAATTCTCTGTACATTCTACTGTCATTAATCATGGTTTGTCAAAATTCTGGCCAGCATTGTAACTACCAATCATATTTTCAGGAAACTTGGATGCCAGGGCAATTTGTCATATTGCTACAAGTTAATCTATTCTCTGATATGAATAAGTAGAAATATTACTTCAAATGACAGTGATGGATATATTTTAGCTGTTAGATGTTTGCCTAAACAGCTTGTAGAACATATTATACATACCAAAATATACTCCCACCCTGCATGAGATATGATGAATTTTAGCTCACTGGTATTCAAAATTTAGATTAATAGAAACTTTGGCTGATCTTCGGGAGAGGGCATTATTATCATTAAGTGAACTTGACACAATCTGGATTGTGAATAATACTCAATATATTTAATAAAAGAGTTAGATATTTTGGACATATTGTTTAAAAAAAAATGTATTTGAAATAAAATATTCTTATGAAATAGCAACTTGTAGCTCCCCCAATCCTTCTTTTTCACATATTCAAGTCATTTCAAATTATTTGATTCTTGTTTTTATAACTTTGTACAACTGCAATTAAAAATAATTTGACCATCATAAACATATTAAAATTTCAACAGCTCATATATAAACATGGCTAAATAGCATCATTTTGTCATGAAAATGCCTTATAGTTAATCACCATCATTTCAATTGTCAAATCATAAAGCTAAACAATAAAAAACTGGCAAGAAAAACATTAGAAAGTGATATATAAACAACCAGTAAAGTTTTCACTGTGTCATAAAATCTGGTATTTAGGATTATAGCTCTACAATTTGACACTTTCCATCCATTTCCCTACAAAACTCAGCAATTTTTCAACCCATAAAAATACTTTTAAAAGCTTCCATGACAGCTACTCTACATGATAAAACTGAGGAAATTATTTTACAATGAAATCTTTGTATATTTTCTTGACCTTTGTACTTCAATATGATAATTAAGGTTCTGCAGGAAATTTTCTGAAGTTTATAAAGTAATTTTTAGATTTTTTAAAATTTCAGATAGTATTGATCTAAAAAAATCCAGAATATTTTAGAGCGGCACAATCTAGTGGGTCCTTTAGGGTTCAAGTCCTTGCAGTAGTGTTTTCTATTTTAAGTATTGTGCTGACTTTGATGACATTTAGTCACCTGACATTGATCTATAGTCTAACAGTGTTTGTTAATCCTTTACAACTGAATCCATTTAGAATTCTCTGAGGCCTCATAACACTTTCCTTAATATATCTTATATAATATAACACCCTATTAACACCATTAGTGTTACTCTGAATTATTGCCCTTGATTTAATATTGACATGCCTAATTCCCTCCCTTTGATTGGATCTTCAATTTGAAATGACAAAACAAATGGTTGTTTCAGAGTTGTTTGGTTTGAAGGGGTATGATATTGACAGTAAAAGGTCATGGACTTTGAAGTAATTTCAGGAGTAAATATGAAATCTTTTGTCTTCTTGACTTTATTTTGAAACCAGATTAACCACAGAATTTCAAATTTTTAAACTATTTTGAATTACTTGTTGAATTGGACATCATGGGTGCATTGGTATTTTGTGTTCAGTACAACTACAATACCAATATAAGATGTCATGTAATCAATTTGACATTCAGAATTTCATACAAATGTAGACAAACTCGTAAGAAAGTAGCCGTCTTCTGAGCACAAGAGTCATTAAAAATTTACTAAAACAATGGTTTTGTACCCATCCTCACTGAGGTTTCAAGATGGAGGATGACAAAAGTTCATATTATTTCTGTAAATATTGGTGTCTTTGTATAGGGAATAATAATACATCATATTTCCTAAATGGATTTGACCGCAAACATCCATCTCTGGGGAATCTCTGGTCTTCACTTGATTAAATACTAGTGATATCAGGCCTGGCAGTCCACAGGGAGTTCCCAAGTTAACTGATTCTAACGTTAACTTATTACTAAGATTGATTTGAATGTCGATACTGCGTGAAAATTGTAACAAATGAGATCTAAGGATAAGTCTTGTAGATTTATGATGGAATATGAAGATTAACGTGTTTTATACGTAAAATATCACAGCTTAGACGAGATTTATATCTTACCAAACTCTAAATTATCTGCAACCTGAAATAGAACCTTTCAGTTGTAATGTTTATGTCATAGAATCTGACGGGAACCAATATGATAAGTCAATGCTGAATGTGACCAAGTTATCATCTGTTGAGTATAATGGGTATAGCAATTTGAAAACATTTTCTTTTCTAAAATTGTATTAAATGAATCACGTTTATTAAGCATAGAAATACAAACATTTTCACTGTTGAAATAGTTCTCAATACCTAAAGAGTAGATCAATGTAGAAATTTAAAATATTTTTTCCGAATCTGTTTGAATTATTCTATTAGTTAAGGATATTTATATGCTAATTGATGGTTTTACAAGAATAATATTATGCTTGAACTTTTTCCTAATGAGTATGGCGGTGGTGATGTCATCATTTTGTCAAAATATTGAGACTTGATCATGTATGAGAATGTCATCAAATATTTATTGCACCATAATCATATCACCAAATTGATTCTTGATAATTGGGAATTTTATACTGAAAAAAATCTCAAAGTTGTAGAATTAAAAATTATATGATAACAAAATAATCTGATGGATACATATGTCTATGATTCACAAAAAACAGTAATTCAATCCTGTTTGGATTTCTAAATTATACTATTCAAGTCAATACTTTCATTATTCTCAACTTTGTTAGAAATGGGAGTTCTGTATTCTTATGTGATCGGAAACTTTCATTCAAGTCTGCTGCATTTTCTGAAAGGCATTGGCAGGAATAATAGCCTGCAATATGATGTCATGCCTTCTAGGTATTATCTTGCCATTATTGAAAGAGTTAAAGTAATCGTGAAAAGATACAATAATAAACGAACGTCAATATTTTTGCCTCTTGGCGTCCATTTTTTTTATCAATTTATTCTTTTCAAAACAGATACAAAGATGAAATGTATTTGGTTGAATGTCATGCAATTTATATTTTGTATTGAAAGAAACTCTGAACAGTTCAATTGATCGAAATGCTCATGGCAAAGTTGTTAATTTATGATCTGGAGTAATATGAGACAATAATAGCTTCACACCGAACCATTATAGGGCCGCAGAAAATTGTTACAGTTCTGCTGTAAATGGTTATTTGAGGGATTAAATATTTCAGAAAATGACATCATAAATATCATCGGAACGTTATGAATCTCATTATGGGATATTTGTTGACGAAATTTCGAAATAATTTTCTAACCGAGTTTAGAAATCGAAACTTAATTGTTTTTAAAAGACATGAGGTAATTGATTCTATTTTTGGCATCAACATGTCAATTTAGAGTTGACCCTGACCTTTGAAAAGAAATGGATAAACTTCTTGAGATGTTATTCCAGCTGGAGGCAGCCTCTTATTGAAATTGGAAATTCTGAAGATTACATTCACTGGAAATTTGTGACTTGAATTTATGTCGGAAACCTTTTATTGCTATCACTTTTCTTTTATTAGAAATTTAAAAACATGGACAGATTCGAAATGGTGGAAGAAAGAAATTGGACGCATGTCACTGCATGCTGTAAAGATATCGTATAAAATGAATTCAGCGTAAAAAACAGACAAACATGGCAGCAAGAATTTAAATGAGAAAAGTAATTGATCTGGTGTGGAATAATATTCCTTGTCAGTTAACTGAATTACGTTGTTTAGTCAAAGTGTTAAGATATGGTGGACTTGTCGATAGTCTAACTGCATGATGCACTCACATAAATAACACAGCTTAACTAATTGATATTTTAAAATGGCTGTCTTCATGTTACAATCTTCTCTAATAAATTTCTAGAATGGTTGTTTGTAATGGAGATTAGTCTATCAAAATTTTCTATTGGCTTCTATTTTGACGAATTTTTTTAAGAAATAGGTCTACTGTCCTTAGAACTAGGATTTCTGGTCATGGACTTTCAATTCCACACACCTTATAGGCCAATGAAGTGGACGGTGCCAAGTGATGTCACAATGCTAACACCATACACTTTCTTTATAATTTGACGTTTATAGTATGGCCTATATTCTGTTGTATTTCCTGACTTTCTGCTGATACGATTAAATTTTGATATTTCTCAATTATAGATATATTTAATATTCAATAAAGAAATATACCATGTGGTTGCAGGAGGCAATGTTGTAGGCTGAAAATAAAATATGCAATTCCAAAGGATTGTTTTGGAGGAATCTGATATTCCACTTTAATACATGATATTGAAAGCAGGATGTGTGTCAGTCTGATTAACAGAGCAAGTGTCTTAAACCAGGAAACAAACTAGTCAAGCAAGGATGAAACATGATCAGTTTTTGTGGCTTCGCTCTATTAATAACAAGAAGGACCCTATCTATTCTCGCATTAACCTATTCATTCCTGTTTAGAATCGTCTTCCTTGAAAGAAGAGGCGTATGGTAGGTTGATAGCTTGTATTAAATTATAGAGCAACTGATAATATTTATGAAAGAAGTGACTGATAACAATGAAAAGAGGGCCTTTTTATGTTACAAGGTGTGCTGGTTAAAGATCCCTCGAAGAGTTGGTAACAGAAAAATGTAGTAAATAAGTTCCTAATTGGATTCTGCAAGCCAGTGCCCAATTTCAATTCCTCAATCTGGAGCAAAAAGGATGAAAAACATAGAATTTCATTTTTATGTAGATAAAGTCTTGTACATGTACAGGGCAAAATTGTTGAAGTCTTTGAATTTGACTTAAATTGAAATTAAAGGCTTAACTTGGCCATCTTTTGAAGTAATCAACTTGTCCAATTGATAAAAAATCATTTATAGTGTTACCAGCAGTGATAAATCCAAATCACTTATTGGACCTATGGACTATTTATCTTTTTCTTAACCTGGGAATCTGTCATTTACAAACTCGTAAAAATAAAGTTTATGTTCTTCTAGTAGTGAGTCATTGTATAAGATGATAAAAAAAGCAGGTTAATTCAGGAAAGTCACCATTAACGATGGCTAAAACCAGATGCTTGGTTACGATTGAACAACACAGCGCGTTCAATAAGAGAATTAGCATATTAAAGTCTATAAATTATCGCAAACTGTCAAACTTTTATTGGAATAAGAAAAAAAATTGATTAGGAAGGAAAATTTGTTATAGCTGAATGTTGGGAGAATTTGAATGAAGTTGTCAAGAGGTGTTGGAAATTTGAAGTGTTTGCAATGATTTATGAGTAATTTTATTGTTCCTTAAACACATTTTATTTACACGTTGACCATATGCTATGATTTATTTAGCACAATGATACATATTGATGTATGAATATTCCACATGACATGGATTGTTTCTATTTTTAGCTTCAGCTGTTTTGAAAGTCAAAAATGGTTGATGTTTAACTTTTCAGTTTGAAAACAACAAATGCATGATAGTTTTTGTTCCTGCTTTATGTATATATTTTTAAAACTAAGAATCTTAAAGAATTGAAAAAGAAATTGATGAATATACAACACAGTTTACTCTCAAGTTAAAGAAATGGTCAATTTGAAGCCAAGTTGAAAAATTTTATAAAAAGAAAAGAAAAGAAGCAAGGTCATTTTAGTTGAAGTTCTAACTTATTGAATGCACCATGTTAGTCATTGAACATTGAATAATAAATATGTTGACATTTCCAACTGATAGGTTAATAGAATAGGTGTCAATAGAATTCTCTTTAACTACCTTGATATCATCATCAATTTCTGACCTTTGACCCCATTTAATGAATCAGACGTCAATTTTTTAGGTGTAATAATGAGATTTGGATCTTATCTTATTCTCGTTAAATTTCTTGATGCAGTTTGACAAGTATAGATTCTATTCCAAAATGGGATTTTACTTGCAGCTGTTGTACGTTTCTTAGTAAGACACATAAAAATAAGATTTGGATAAAAATTATTTCTTACAAAAGTGCAAACTCAATATGAAAATGGACGCTTACTAACTGAAAGTACTTGCAGATTTGAATAGACACTGTAATTTCAGTGAACTTTTTTTGTTTCCAATCAGTTCTAGTTTCCCAGCGGCTCTCACATTGTCATATGACTTAGTGCATTAACAGTAATTGAATAAATTCAAGTCTCACTGCAAGTCCAAGCTTCAATACCTAGCAGTCAATTGATAACTTTTCAACTTGAAGACATTTTGTGATATTGGAAAGTAGAAATCAAGGAATAGTAATTTAGCTTGGTGATTCATTGCAAATCTCATTTATCATACGACTAACAATATAACAACATTCAGTTGTCAACGGTTACAATAGATACTTGTAGTTTCTTACAACTTGTCGTTTTCTTAACAGCTTAGAATCAATTCACGTTTTCAACGTTTCCGATTACTCCAGCTAGAAATATGGTGTTTCAAGTTCCATTTCCATATCAATATGCAATTTCTATAGAATTTCAGGAGAAAAGATACTTGTAAATCGCATATCGAATTGCACGTTGATTAAGAATTCTGTTTTCTGTTTTCTTAATGAGTTAATAGTGGCTTAGACTACACTTTTTGCATTATGAATTTTTTGGATGTATAATTGGAATAATTAGATTGAATTAACAAACGATTAGATTTTTTGATAGTTATGTTAGGTTTTGTTATATATGGCATTCCTACTGATAATTACTTCCTCTCTTCAGCAATTTGAATTCATATAGCATTCGGGTCAAATAATAGATAAAAATTTTCTGTTTTGGAATTTCTAAATGAGTTTCATTAATAGTGGCTTACAGATAATTCTACTTGACTTTTGTTTATGACTTAACAACAAGTTCAGATGCATTATTGATTGACATATATTGAATTTTTAATTGAAAAGCAAAAGCAGAAATAATGCAGTATTAAAAGTATGTTCTTTATGATTCAATTCAATACTATTTCAATCTGATAAAAATTGTTTTAAACCTTTTTAAAATGCTATAAATCAGATGGAAACAGCAAATATAAAGTAAAAGTAGGATTTAAAAGTATTATTAACGACTCGGAAACAAGGACAGTGTTTTGGTACAAGTCAATATTACAAACTAATAGATTAATGCTAGGGCTAATCAAGTTAAATGTATTTTACTCTCTCACGATATTCTTACACCGACACAACTACATTGAAATACGCAAAATTACACTCTAGCTTTTAACGCAGGTTTTAGCATTCTACAACAAGGCTTTTAAAAGACTATAAGACTTAATCAAAATGCATTTCCAGTGCTGTTTTACTTTAGTCCACAAAGTCTTGTTGACTAGGCTAGCTTTAAAAGCTTAGTGAATATGGAGAATGATCAAGGTCTGAAGTGCCTTCCACTCTTTACAGCTTCCCTTAATCACTGTACATCCTAATAATTATATTCAACAAAATCTCTTGAATGAATAAATGATTGAAAGGATGAATGAATGAATGAATGAATGAATGAATGAATGAATGAATGAATAATTGCATTCAAAATGAATGTATGAAACAAGGAAAGAATGGGCACATTCAATCTCAGCCCAGTATATATAAAATGAAATCACATAGTGTAGGCCTAAGCAGTTTAATATTGGTTAATTACAATGAGATTTTAATATGTGTGGTTTTATCTTTTCAGGTTCGTGGATATACTGACAAGGGATGGGGAGTATATAGTGATCCCCTACCAGTTTCTACTGGCAACAAGGGCGAATATGGTAAGCATATCTTCCTGTAGTTAGACCTTTTTGGCCTCTTTTAGTACAAAGTACCAAACCAAACCACGTTATTGTATTACTCACAGGAAGGTCATATAATTAGGGGACTGAACAGTCATGTTACTCAAAGAACAAGCATCAACCTCCAGAGTAGATTCACAATGAAACAATTGGCTTTGTCTAAACAAAAACACATTGTTTAAAGAATATGTAATACTTCAAAAATATTACATTACTATTGATTGAATTAAGTTATGATTTAAAGTTCAAAAGCTACTGAAATTTCTAGAGAAAGTTGCACTTACATAATAAGATCCAAAGTTCAGCAAAATAAAAAGAGAAATAGTTATAATTCAGATTCTTTCATATCAAACTTTCTTAACCTTAATTTCTCAAAAGCCTGCAGGGAATTAATTGAATTGTTTGTACGTTTTCCTCATAGACTTAAACAACTCAAATTTCCACAGTTTCTGACAATTTTTTCAAGTATTCATTTCATTTTATCGTGATTGTCTACACGTTCAATTTCTCGAAGCACGAAAACAGCGTCATTTATTTCATATCAAAAATATTGATTACTCATAAAAACAAATTTCTTGGAAATTCTTCTCCAAAATTAATTACAATATTCCTGAAAATGGTCGTACTTAGCGCTTAATCAAAACTCAATATCTATATTGGTTGAGACTGTCAAACGTTTAAGATATAAATATTCCAGTTTCCTACAAGGACTGCGTATAGTATATCATGGAAATTGATCAATATACTCTTACAGCTTTATTTATATTAATCTAAAGAAGCGTGTTATAGTATATCATGCAATTTGATCGATACACTATTTGCTTGTATTTGTCTGATGATCTCTTTAGGTTTAATTAACCACATCCAATTGGAAATGAGTTTGTCAGTTTTCTATGGCGCTGAAACTCCTCATGTAAAATTCCTGGAACAACTAATTAATGTTTTCTGCCAGCCTTTCTCAGTTTCGAGTGTCCCTCTTCTCTCTGCCAATTATTACTACTACAAATTTCGCTGAATGAGAAGAAAATACAGTAGAAATTGATTCTCTTTGAGGGGAATATATGGTCTATTTATTGATGAGTTATTCAGTTTGACAGTAATTCGGAAATTCACATAGTCAGATAGAAATTGAAACCCTTACTACAATACTTAACTTCAATACTCACTTTTTGTTTACTGATATATTGTAAGAAAGTTAAACAAAGATGTTTGTGCACATTTAGTTTTGATTCAAAATACAAACATGAGCAATCCATTTCTATTTGATGAAGAATGATAGTAATTGAAACTACAGTATCAAACAATAATATATACGAAAAATAACAAAAATTCTCACTGTTAAAATAGTACTCAATACATCAATTGTAGAGTGATATAGAAATACCACTGTTAAAATAGTGCTCAATACATCAATTGTAGAGTGATATAGAAATACCACTGTTAAAATAGTGCTCAATACATCAATTGTAGAGTGATATAGAAATACCACTGTTAAAATAGTGCTCAATACATCAATTGTAGAGTGATATAGAAATACCACTGTTAAAATAGTGCTCAATACATCAATTGTAGAGTGATATAGAAATACCACTGTTAAAATAGTGCTCAATACATCAATTATAGAGTGAAATAGAAATACCACTGTTAAAATAGTGCTCAATTCATCAATTGCAGAGATATGTAGAAATACCACTGTTAAAATAGTACTTAATACATCAATTGTAGAGTGATATAGAAATACCACTGTTAAAATAGTGCTCAATACATCAATTGCAGAGATATGTAGAAATACCACTGTTAAAATAGTGCTCAATACATCAATTGTAGTTAAGATAGTGGTTAATACATCAATTGTAGAGTGATATATAAATACCACTGTTAAAATAGTGCTCAATACATCAATTGTAGAGTGATATAGAAATACCACTGTTAAGATAGTGCTCAATACATCAATTGTAGAGAGATATAGAAATACCACTGTTAAGATAGTGCTCAATACATCAATTATAGAGTGATATAGAAATACCACTGTTAAGATAGTGCTCAATACATCAATTGTAGAGTGATATAGAAATACCACTGTTAAGATAGTGCTCAATACATCAATTGTAGAGTGATATAGAAATATTAAAACAGAACTTTAAAGCACATCTTGAAAGCTGAAAATATTATCAAGTCATGTAACTGAGCATAAGATATAAAAATGTTCCGACTTGCATATCCGGAAACAGTCTGAAAGATGTTGAGTGTTGAGTCAATATCAACAAGTCTATAAATAGTAATTTGACATTTACCAACAGTTCTTTATTTACATAAACATTTCATATTTTACAGTGAATAAAGAATTAAAAGATCCCCCTATTGGAATAATCGCAGGATCAATTGTAGCTGTGATACTATGTATGGCCATAGCAACCATCATGATTATTATTCTCCTCCGAAGGTAAGAAATCTCGTTAAGTTGCGTCTGCTCTCATGTCCGTTGCAGAAGTGGAGGCAGAAATTGATTTAGAATGATGTTCTGGCGTAGAATTTTATTGCTGTCTTGACATCTTCATTACTCTAACTTGTATATTTTAAACGTGACTTGAATATTAATACGCTTAGATTACTACGATAAATAAAAGTAGTCCCATGTTATTAGTGACTGTGTTAGATTCCGAGATCAATTGATTTGGTATTCAACTCAGCTTTATTTTGATGTATGTTCATGTTCTGGCAAATCGTCCTTTCAATAGATTTCCTACCCATGAATTATGTTGTATGTTTTCTATTGGAATTCTAAATCGAAGTAATTGCCCGTTTTGAAAAGATTTCACGATGATAATTTTACATAAGATGTCTGATTTAATTATTAGATGTCTTATTTGATTATTAGATGTCTTATCCAATTATCAAAATAGAAGTGTGTTTATTCAGATCAGTTTTGTTTCCTTATTTTTGGTCCAATGCTACATGTATCCTGTTGGTCCAATGCTACATGTATCCTGTTGGTTCAATGCTACTTGAATTATGTTACATACTACATGTATCCTGTTGGTCCAATGCCACCAGTCCTTTACTGTGTATGTAACTAATTGATGTCTATTTTCAGGAATCGTCAGAATTGTAATGAAAAGAAAGAATGTGATACACCGTATGGACATGGTAAGTTTACTACTTTTTATATCAAAATATTTTCATTATTCTATTTCTTCATTGAATCTGCATGGTGAGTTGGTGATAGTCTTCAAATCATAGTTTTATATATAGTTTCTCACTATTGTTCATTAGGGTTGAAAAGATAAGGTTCTTCCTTCCTCCTTATTGTGTTGTTCTTGGTTTACTGACGTCTGTGTCCCTTTGAACACCTTTTTAAAATATCTCTGTTGTTAATAATGAACCCCACATTATTAGTAAATATGAGTGGTTTTTGGCTGTCATTGTGATATGCTTTTTTGATTTTATATTTCTTATTACAACCTTTGGCTTTTGTTCTGTTTACTAATATGTGCACCTTTTTAGACTTTTTTTTGCTTATGACTTTTGACTTTTGAAAATGGTTTATCTGAAGTTTATAATAAATAGAATTATTATTTTAATAGAAATATTATTAGATCACAGGCACCAGTGTCCAGCAGTGATGATTTCATGCTTTAAAATCTTTTTATCAGATTTGTTAAATATTGGCCATAAATATAATGTAATTGTCATAAAGCTTGTGTCTGATACATCATAGTTAATTGAAAATTGATAAACAAAGACATAGTTAATGACCTGAAATGAGTTTTTATTCAAATCAGAAATAGATATGACAATTTATGATAAAATTGATGTGTTTTAGATAGAATTAGATCATAAAGTGTGTTATGATTAAGGTTTAAGTCGTTTTTTTTTGTCATGAAAATCTCTGGTTTTCAAACCAGATGGTAGTTTGATGACAATTTGATTAACTTTATTATAATGAGAACATATCAAATTTATACTTTTCAATTTTGAGTTATTCATTAGTCTATTACTGGTCATGTTTTCAACAGAAAAGAGAAATATTGGTAAAGTTTTTGAATTTTTACTGAAAGGGACTTTGTCATAGTTGTAGTCTGCAGTGGAACATGAAAGATATTTTGAAAGTAAACTGTTCTAATGGAAAGTTATTGTCCTGTTTTAGAAAGTAAACTTGTCTAATGGAAAGTTATTGTCATGTCTTTGGGTTGACCAGGAGCTGATGGTGATTCATTAACCATTGTTTTATTGTTCACAAGCAAAAGATATTCAAATCAACCGAAGCAAGAACACTAGAGTCAACAATCGGAATTTTTAATCTTTTCACCCAAAATACTCCCTTTTCAGTTTTTTGTCAGTTCTTAATTAATCTCATCTGTTGGCCTAAATGTCCACATAGAGAGTTTTATTGTTCTGAAAAATGACGTTAAATTTTTCTGACAGATTAGAAATTGTCGTTATCTGATGAAATCTTAAGACAATTGAATAGAACATTGCATCAATTGTGATGGTTATTATAAGAAGTTGTCAGTTTGTCTTGGTGTAAATTGTGTCCCCCCTGACATGGCATTGTTTAAATTTGTTCTTATTAATATTCGTAACGACGCTGTTTTTAATGTCTCTCTCCTATCTTGGTTAATCCTGCATGTAATTCATTCTACCATATTATATGATTTATCTCCCCTATCGGGACACTCGCCTCACCCGATCTTTGTCACATCATATTCCTTTCTCATAACCACCCCTTGTTTTATGTGTTTGTACATCTTTTTCACTCCATGCTAACAATTCATTCTCATTGTCCCGCCATACTAACACTAGCACTAATCACTGTGTTTTGTCTTTCACTCCACCATCATTAATCTTCGTCTTTTAACCATCTCTAACCGAGTCCTGACAAGGAGACAACAAATTTTATGCGAGGCAATTAACTCGCTAGCTAATTAGTCATTTTGATGGCCTTTTTTACAACTTAATAAATTCCTTTCTTTGGAAATTAGAAAAAGTACATGTTAATAAGGCTTGTCAAAAACATCAATAAAAAACAACAAAACAATCAGTAGTTGATCACCGCCATCTTTGATCTCTTTGTTCTTAATGAGATATTTTAATGTTTTAACTCCGGGCGTAAATCAAATCATAGTGACAATGAAAACTATCATGAGATGGATCAATTTTAAAAAAGATAAATTCTCAAAGATAAACTTCATGAAACAACAGCATTGAAAACTTGGTAAATTATTTGCAAGTTGATATACATATACCATGTTTTGAAGAATAGATATCTTTAGGTACCCTCTGTTTTACTAATCATTCTTCCTTTTATAACTATAATATCTTGGTTTCACTCAAATATTACACAGACCATTATCTTTTTCATCAAGTTTTTGATTTTTTCTACTTCAAACAATAAAGGGTACATTTTTATTAAGATTTTGGCTAAGGAGATGCTATGGGTATTGTCCAATTTCATTATTAAGCATAATTTGTTATAGAAATGTACCATTTATTTGATAATGCTTTATTAATTGTTGTGCATACCATACCATAGATCATGCTTGTTGTGCTTACTTGATAAATATTAGCTCAATATATGATTACCATGACAACTAAAATATATTAAACTTTCAAAAAATGTGACAAAAATTTCTGATTTCAATCTAAAAGTATACATTCAGATCTTTACAAGTAAATCTTTACAAGAAATGTGTAACAAGGCAGAACATTATTGAACACCTTTGTTGTGAATATTTAATATAATTTGGGATGTCATAAAGTCAGCTGACATGCCATTTGACATGTCAGTTAAGACGTAATGCCAGTTACAGTGACAATAATGCTGTTACATGTCTGTTTTGATTAATCTAAACTTGACAAAATATTCAGAGAGAAATTAAATATTATTACCGTTTTATTTTTGATTAAGGAAATCAGGAAGATTCAGTCACAGGATTTGAGTCTGTAGAATTTCAAATAATAATTGTACGTGAAATGTTGACTTAAAGAAAATAACTAGGAGAAAACTGAATGATAAAGAAAGAAAAATTGGCGTTAATTTCGTTAGCTAAATTATTATTTGCTTTCTAAATTGACTTTGAAGAATCATTACTATTTGAGCTCATTTGAAGACTCTTCAGTTGTAAATTGGAGGTTTGAAAAGAACAATGCCTCATTTAATTTGCGTCCTTTGACCTGATTTTGGCAGGGTCAGACGCAATTTTATGTTTCTGGAATTTTAACAAAATGAGACAATAATCCTACTAATTCGTGGTGGTGTCATTTTCTGCAAATTATTGTGGTTAAAATGCACAAGTTGAATATTGAGCTAAAATTTAGAATTTTTTATTGTGATTTTTTTTATTGCTTTGCTTTCATCTGCTTTATTTTATTTTCTCTCCAGTTCTACACTATCCCCAGTTGGAACCTCATATCAATGGTGGGTGTAAGTATCATTGCTTTATTCATTCATTCATTTTATTCATCCTCTCTTTTTATCTTCCCCTCCTTTTCCTATTGTTTTCTCTTGTCCTTTCCTTCTTTTCATCTTTTAAATTTTCATGTTTTTATCCAAATTGATTTTATTCATCTGTTCTCTTCATTATCAACCTTCTTTCATGTTTTAAATTTCCTCCTCCCAATCATAATCATCTATTTTTTTAGTGAAATCTTATCAATTTATCTATTTTTTTTGTTATTGCTACCTACATATCTGTATCTATTTATCACCCACTCTATTTCATGTTAAAAATTCATGTTCCTTTGTTTTTGCCTCCATTCCCTATATTCTCACCATTTCATGTTGCTTTTTACAATTCAGTTATATAAAACACCATCTGGTTGCTTAGTCATTTCATTTTGTTGCTTTATGGCACATGGGAGAGACAACATGGAAACAGCAGAATTATCATTGATCAAAACTAAGATATCCTAACTGAGGAATTTCTAATACATGTTGTTTGATTGGTTAAATATCATCACTTTATTGGCCAATGGGAATGATTCAGTTATGATATATATTTTTTGTTGATATATCTTACTGAACATATTTTTCAGAATGACACAGTCATAGGAATTAAGCTATTTATAGTAACACAGGATATACCAAAGCATCTATTTATGGAATTTATTACTTATTATATTGCATTTTCTATTTCAGTGACGATGCCACTGTTTCCATCTCCTGGTTCCATCCACAGTTCTGTCAGAACCTATATAGATCCACATACCTATGAAGATCCTAACCAAGCTGTCCGAGAATTTACCAGAGAAATTGATATTTCCCATATAACGATTGAATCTGTTCTTGGTGGAGGTAGGTCTTTAGACTTTCTTATTCCAACTTGGGAGAAGTTAAATATAGAGTAACTTGAAGGTCAACTGAGTCCAATAGTTCTAGTTTTTTAACCAAATAAAGAAATAAACACAACTTTAATTGCACCAGGCAAATAACAAAAACTAACCATATATGAAATATGATCTGATTTTATACTACCCATTTGGACAATTTAGCCTGAATTTTTTAGTATACTTTTTTTGGCTCCATGATTAACCCAGTTACGTAAAACTTCCAAGAGTTTTAGGGCAAAGCATGTCAGTTGACGATACCTTAAAACACCTTGAAATGTTATGCTTTTTAAAGACACTACTATAGTGAATTATATGACTGAATCTAAAATTATACTTGCAGGTGAGTTTGGTGATGTTTGTAAAGGTAAATTAAGAGTTCCAGGACGACCAGAGATGACTGTTGCCATTAAAACATTGAAACCTGGTGCCACAGAGAAAAACAGACTGGATTTCTTAACTGAAGCCAGCATCATGGGTCAGTTTGATGATCCTAATGTTATTTTCCTGGAAGGTGTCATTACCAAAAGTAAGTCTTGGAAACTTTATATTATAAATTGAATAAATCATATCAATTAGACAAAAGTTTATCTTGGGCTTTAAACATACCTTTTGGATACAGAATTTATCTTCACGATAACTGGTTTGAAAGTGGATGTTAATGAGCATATGAGCATTATTATGGTTTTTAGGCCAAAACTGAAATCTAACTTCACTTCTTCTTTGAAAAATGTTTCAGTTGAAAGGCACAACCCCCCAAATTGTTGAAATACAGGTTTATTTTTTCCTTTTTCAGATAATCCGATAATGATTGTAACAGAATTTATGGCCAATGGATCTCTGGATACCTTCTTGAGAAACAATGATGGTAAATTTACTGTGATCCAATTGGTTGGAATGATGCGTGGAATTTCCTCTGGTATGAAATATCTGTCTGAAATGGGCTATGTACACAGGGTAAGTAGACAATATATTGTACAGTGTACAGACAATCTGTAGAATCGTACATCATTATTCAGTACCAATAGATTTCCCTTATGTGTTTGAGCACTATAACATTCTATGTGTTTCAAATTTCGACAATGAAATGTGGAATTTCTTTAGATAAGGGATGTGCTCAATTATTTTTTCCCAGCTATACATGAAGCATGCTTGATCATAATATCAAACTAATTTATTGAAATTTCTGTGTTTTTCAGGATCTAGCGGCAAGAAATATTCTAGTGAATGAGAGTTTGGTGTGTAAAGTTGCAGATTTTGGTCTATCAAGAGAAATAGAAACAGACAATACTGATGGTGCTTATACAACTAAGGTATGGCTTCAAAATAATTACTTTCCTTTCTTCTGCCTTTTCAACCTGGAATATTAATGACAGGAGATGTCATTTCTGGATATCTTAAAACTATAGTTTCAGAATAATCTCTTTTGTACTATAGCAAGGTATTGTTGAACAAAAATATGTATACACTTCCAAAGAGCAATCGATTTGTTTTGAGGTGGATTTAATTTCTTAAGGGAAACTTGTGATCATGATTTTGATTGTGCACAAGTGCCAGTATCTTTGCCTGATTAAGTAAGGTTCTTGGTCATCCAATGCGGTACCTATGACTTAGAAACTGTTTTGAGTCGGTTATTATTCTCACTAACTGTGATTTACACTAACCTTTCCCCTATGATATTGTCACTTGCTTTTCTCGTTATAAATTGGATGACCAAAACCTTGCCAGAACATAACAAATTTATCTGAAATCTTCTTCATTTTACTCTCTATAACTCATTATTCTATATCCTGCAACTGCTTTCTTGACAACTAGAGGTTGCATGGAAAAAAGAACAATGTTTCAAACAGCACAAGAACACGATTCTCAATAATCCCTATTTCAAGTGCAAAAACAAAATCTTGAAACTTTATTTGACATGATATTAATGATTTTGGGTAGTTTCTACTGTCTGTTACTAATCATTTGAAGTGAATCCTGTATGTTGATCTCCAGTTGTCAAGAACTCAGTTCTATCTCTGATCTTGGTTGTAGTTAGTTATTATTTAGCATGATTAATATATTGATAATCCTTCGATAATCTCTAAATTAATAACCTTAATTAATATGTAATTCGTTAGAACAAAAATAATTTTCAAATGATTAAAGGTAATGTATTTTGATCTGGAAAAATTAAACATTGACCATTGGGATCTAGGGTATATTAAGTGTATATTGAAGGTATGCAGGCCTTCGATATTCATGAATATTTTTTGTAAATTTTGACTTGAGGAAGCGTTCATACTTGTCAGTCATGACTACCAAATTTAGATAACACACATATTTAATTGATTGTTTAAAAGAAAAAGGGAGGGGGGAATGGCAGGGGTCTTAAACAAGGGATGAGGGTTAGTTAAAATAAGGTAAGACGTTGGTAGTATAAAATCAATGAAATAAACAACTCTACAGGGTAAGTATTGAAAACATGCATCAAGAAATTCTGTTTAAATATCTGTATGACTTAGATAATGTTTGATACCTATTTGCTACTAGCATGACATCTAAAGTTAAAGCTTTTGAAGTGCGTCATGCAAGCCAATAAAATCTAACTCTGATATACGCAAAACATAGGCAGCATGTTTATACTATTGCATGTTTGCTGACTGAACTTTTATTTTCCCTGAGGTATTGGTTCCTAGCATGCTTTCCCTGTTTGTTTATCAGTAGATTCCTGTAGTGTATTTTATGCAATAATTTAGCTCTCTTAACAAACACTTATAGTTAGCTCCCTTAGCAAGTGTGTATATTCCCAGTGCGGTGCTAATAGTGTTAAGGGTCTTGTAATGTAGCTTCATCAGTGGAATGAATCCTTGGAATTTAGATCGGCATTTAACAAAACATTCTTTTAAGCTTTTTCTTTATAGATGCTTTTTCTTTATATTTTAATCTGTTTCATTCTTTCCTTCATTCCTTGCTTTCATCCATCCACTATCTATCTATCTATCTATCCATCCACTATCTATCTATCTATCTATTCTAATAATCTATTTTAAAAATATTAATACACAAATTATAGTAAGAAAATGTGCATATTTAGGTTATATTTGAAAATAATTGAAAACCATTTTCTATTTTTTCCAGGGAGGAAAGATACCAGTGAGATGGACTGCCCCAGAAGCCATTGCATACAGGAAGTTCACATCATCATCAGACGTCTGGAGTTATGGTGTTGTCATGTGGGAGATAATGTCATATGGTGAGCGGCCATATTGGAATTGGTCCAATCAAGATGTCATTAAAGCAGTTGAAAAGGGATACAGACTTCCTCCACCTATGGTATGTTAAATTTGGAAAAATGCCGGATATCACAGAAAACAATTCAGTTAACCAAAAATATTGTCTGAAGCATGACAAAATCGGGTACAATAAATGTATAATAGTGAACTCCTCAAGTGAGAAAGCATGGCCTTCTTCTTTAAATATTGAATATCGTTTATTTTTATAGGACTGTCCTGAAGCCACACATCAGCTAATGTTAGATTGCTGGCAGAGAGAAAGATCACATCGACCAAAATTCTTTCATATCGTAAAAACATTAGATAAACTAATCAGAGCACCAGAACTGCTGAGAAAGATGGCAAAACCAAGGTAAGAAATTAGTCTGTAAGAAATATATAAAAATCTATTTCTAGACCAAATTCAGTCATCTGAGAGCAGATGTTAACATGGAATCAACCATCCTTTAGCAGATCTTAGATCAACTGGCTCATAGTTTCATCAGATACATGAAAGGTTGAATGGGAGAATGGAATAGTTGCAGAGTTCTAGAAACTTTTTATTTGTGGTTCAACCCTTCATTCATTAATCTATATTAAGGTTAATGAGCAGAAAAGTTAGATGTGAAGTTTGCTTCCAAATGATTGTATAATAAATTGCATGATCCACACATATTCATGTATATGACAACCTCGTTGAAATGTAAAACATGAGCATGATTGTTTCAGAAATTTATTTAAAACTCTTTGTTTATTTCAGGCCACACAATTTCATTGACCCAAATATTCCTGATATGACCCAGTTTACAAGTGTTGAAGAATGGTTAATTTCTATCAAAATGGAACGTTATATAGACAATTTCATACATGCTAACTATTTCACCATGGACCAAATATCACGTATCACCGTCAAAGACTTAATTAATCTCGGCATAAACCTTGTTGGACACCAGAAAAAAATTATGAATAGCATTCAAACTTTACGTGCCCAGATTGCAGGCACCCAAATGTCTGAAGGTTTCCTTGTATAGTTGTTAACTGTGATTAGTTGATTTTTCCTATTGACGTGTTTGATTGGCCAATATCATAGTTCGTAAATTAAACTGTGATTGGTCAACCTTAATCATGTGATACACAATTCCAAAGGTCATATTATATAGTGTAGTGTCCTTAGTTCTGATCCTACAATAACAGACTGCTCATCCAATAATATCGTTCCTTACAACAACTCAATTCATCAGAATAATGAAACAGAGTGTCTGATTGGTTGAATTGTATATCTATTTATAGATTTAGTTCAGAGTATTCTATTGGTTGATAAACTATTGTGGACAATATAGTTGTGATTGATATGTTCGCGAGAAAACGTTTATACGCCTAGCGAGTGTACGAAAGTAACAATATGACGTAACTCTGGCTTGAAGCCACACTTAAAACATTTGTTACCTTAATGTAAATAACAAATATTTATTGAACTTTCAAACCAGAAAGTTCAAAACAATCTGGGTGATTGAGACTAAAAGAAAAGTATAGACATGTCCATCAAGTTATGAATTTAGTTGTTCAATAATCAACTTTTAAGTATTACTGCGTGCTAACTCATATGCAGAATCTCATGATATGATTATAGAAACAAGGAAAAGATTTACAGAAAGCAATAATTACAAGGGAGGAGAACAGAAGAGCTATTGATAGACAGAGAAAGAAGTAGGAGGTGTTGTGAACAGCCAAATGACAATGGATGAAATTGAAAATGGAAGACAATTATGCAAATAGAAAGCAGCAATATTGTATTTTATTCTACGCAATATGCAGTGCTAACTTTTAACTAGAACTATCACAAATTTTGTTTTTTGCTTTTATTTGCTTTTAATATCTTACCATTCTGTGCTTCATTATATTTGCTAATTTCTCAGCTATGCAAAAATTTGCACATATAAAATTGCAAGGTTTTGTGAAGAATGTGAATTGTGTGCTAAATTTGAATTTTGATGCACTATAAAGCCCTCCATTTGGAGATATCCCAGATAAACAAAGCCAAATTAGGAACAATTGAGACTTATATTTATTTTTCTTTAAACAAATCCTTGTATGTATATTTTTGAAATTTTAATATAATTTTTTTAGAAGATGTTTTCCTTTTATCTTTTGTTTTGTCTTAATTTTGTATTTCATAAATTTTAGAGAAATAGTCACTGCAAGATGAAATTAACACATGCATTTGACTTTCAAGTATTTCCAAGCTTTGAGTGTATATCATTATATCGTGTAGTTTTTCGTTCAATATGTTTTATTAATAGGAAAAAAATTTTACTTCTTGATGTTTTTTGTAAATAATTTTCTTTTTATATATTATGTAAATAGTCAAAAGTGATAGCTGAATTGAAACCAAATGAAACATTATCACTCCATATCGAGAAAAAAGTTTGCAAATTCTCTTTGGCCACAAATTAGAATACATTTTCTAAATCATGAAATTTGTAAATGAGATTAAAGTTTTCCAAAATACAATTTTACTTTGCATGCATAATTAATTATTAATTCAATTGATATCCATCTGAACTCAAGGCATATGTAAATGATATGTTAATGAGGAGTGATAATGTATGTACATAAATTATGTTAATAAGTATGAAGATGTATAAATTTATTAAATAATGTGTGAAAGAGCTTTTTTTTCAACAAAAGTTTAGTGCATGTTTGTTAAATTTGAGAGGATGATTGTCTTAAAAACAGAAAAATTTTATCTTGGAATTGTTTTGACAATTTGAATACAGTATCTTGGGTTTATTATTGACATTGATATGGAGGATCAACAGAAATAATGGAATATCAACCAATACTATCAACAAGCATTATCTTGAGCTTATTCATAAGCTAAATCATTAATCATGATATTTTTCTAAAGCAAATCTATCCTAAATCTATCCATCTGGTCAAATTTATCATTAATCATGATGTTCTTCTTGGGATTATCTATCCTAAAGCTTAACCATTGTGAGCTTTATCATTAACGATGAGATTTTTTAGAAACAAACAACATAATTATATTGTTCCAAATACACAGCAAAATATAACAAGCTACTTAAATCAAACTTTCTATGTCCAAATGTCAATGAACTTGTCATGATTAGACCCAAGATATTGAGATTTGTGATTATTTTGTGTGATTTGTTAGATTGATTGTGATTAGAATAGAATGTCTCGCTATCACAATATTTATAGAATTTGTTCAGCCTAAAATTTCTCTTTCTGCATTGAAAAAATAGAACTCATTGACCCAGGTTCAAAATAGAACCCCACATGGATTGATTATATCTTTAAACTATATAGGCTCAAAATAAGATGGTTTGATTTAGTAACTCAGTGATGTGGTCCATTGAAGAAATTACGAATAATTTTTCAGAGATTTGATATTGTTTATCAACTGTCATTTATTGCATGAAAATATTGTGAATTCTTGTTTAGAAATGAAAATGAGAAAATACTCAGTTGCAATTTTTTGTAAAGAAAATTTCCTGCTAGCAAAGTTGGGGTAGAAAAATTCAGAAGAGAATTTTAGAAAAGATATGAGGAATTTGTCCTTGATATATTTAAATTTGTCATTGTTATGAATGTGTTCATTTCATCCTAAGGTCATGTACATCTCATGAATATTTGAGTGGATCTATATTTAATTCATTATGTACAGAAATTTTGTACTTAAATTTTTCTTTTTTTAAAATTAAATTATCTAAAGTAGAGAATATATTATTATATAGAATATATGTCAAGTTTTGGATTGAAAATTTGATTTAAACAAGCACCAAAAAGGGCTGCAAAAGAGATGAAAGGAATTTATGGTTAGAATAAAAGATTGTTTAAATAAATATTGGAAGCATTCTCAAGTATCAAAGTGGTAATTTTCTATTAAAATAATTAGGTCTGGATGACCTACACTATACAGTTGTAGAAATTTTATCCAGTATAAAGAGACTGGATCACTCAGTGACAAATGAGTGTGAATGTGAGCTAAAATGAAAATGATAGCAATAATTTAAAATGTGGGCCGTGTACTATATTTGTTATATTCCTTGTAATAAATACAATAAAGAAAATGTATAAATGATACAGGTTTTGTTTTTATTAAGCCCATTGAGTAAAACCAATTTATTTGCTACACCTTAAGCTCATCCTTAAGGTTCTACTCATAAAGGACATAATTTATAAAGTTATAATTATAAAAGCTATCTCTTCTGATAAAAATGTATTTTGAAAATGCAAAATAATAAAATTTTGTCTTATTAGAACATGATAGCTTTAATAATGATGCGTGTTAAAACTATGAGAATTCGCGGCATCTTGGTTTTAATTCACCTGTCCAATCAGAAGCAGAATATTCTACGTAACACTGAATTAGCTGTAAATGGCATGAGTAACCTAACAGTATCAGTTTCGAAAGCAAATAAATTTTAAATTCTAAATCTGGTATCTTACTGTACCGAGATGTTGCCATTTCTCTGGTTAAAACAGGGATTTCAACCTTTTTATTACAATAACCCTTATCACGATCCTTGATCAATTGCAGTATCCTTATTTCCAGTGTAATCTTTACTATTACCCCTTCCCCCTATAAATCTTCGTCCCTGTAGAGTAGATTATATAATCCATAACGATATCTGCGCACAATGCAACACATAAACATTGACAGTCTATTTCATTTCTTTAGAAAAAAAAAACTTTTGAAATAAAAAGAATGAGATCTTAATCCTCATAACTACCTAAATGTAAAGTGGAATAACACTTGCGTTTAGAATATGCTCATTTATCAATGTATGGGAGGCAACTCTTTTTTTTATTAATTCAACTACAGACTACAACTAAACTTTCTCTACAATATTCTGGTTGTCATAGTTTGCCCACTAGAATTTGGCCATAAGGTCAAGATTCGCATGTTACATACATTCGAGACAGCCGACAATGTTTTTATTTAATTTAACAATTTCAGACCACAGCTATGTCCGACATTAAAGGTGCCGGTATCTAACTTATCACGTCCGAGGAACGAGGGGGCCAACTCTGTTTATTTCCCTATCACTTTAACAAATTCCACGTTCATTGTGAATTTTCTAAAGTGGAGAATCCCCGATCTACTAAAAACTTAAAGATGATTTTGGCATTACCATTAATAGTATATTCCTTTATTTACTGTTTACTAACTAATTTCATCAATTCGTCGATTTCTTCACATAATTTCACATCCTGTGATCAAACTTTTCTTAGGGACTTTTTTGTCTATCACATAAAATTTCAATTAAGAAGTTTTATCGTCGCCTTATCCAGACATGTGATAGCTTCGAGATTTCTTCAGGTGTGATAAATATATATAGAAATTGTCTCAGCTATGGATACTGATTCGCAATATTGATAATGATATTTTGAATATTTGTGAAATGAAATAAAAACAAATCAATTCTGTAATCATATTGATCTGAGGGTATGTTTTGTAGTATGAATTATTACAAATTAGTTTCTAATAGAATTGAATAATTTTGATAATTTCGTACTTTTCGCTTTACCACCTGATACAGCTTAACTCGCATCATATTAGATAATGCTAAACTGTGATAATTAAATTGCATATGAACCAACCCTATGCTTGTGCTATCGTAATTACGATTTTTTTAGGCCTACAACCACTTCCACCCAAGTTGACGTTTACTTCTTTAGGCCGATATTATAACATTAGTTTAGTATTACTACACATTTTAGATCAATGGTGACTCTCTAAAGCAGTTGAAAATTGTCTTTTTTAATAACGTTTAGCCGATTTCGAGCGTAATATAAAGGCTACATACCAGTGCTTCTCTTATATAAAGCACTTTTACGACAAAACAGTGAATACATTGACCCACACAAATTTTTTATTTTATTTTCAGATGTAGAGTAGTAGGACGTAAAACTCATTTTTCGATTTGCAGCATTGGTCTGCAGCTCAACTTATAAGACGGGCACCATCTCGTGTTTAATTTACAGATTACAAATCTTCCTA